TCCATTCCATTCCATTCCATTCCATTCCATTCCATTCCATTCCATTCTATTCTAGAAGCAATGGATGGAAACTAATCCAGGAGAAAAGCCATCAATTCTACTCTACTCTATTCTTCATCAGGGTGAGAATCTCCCTATTGAATAGGGAGCAAGTTGATGTGGGAGACCTAATGGTTTTGTAGTTAAAGTATGTTATGGACGTGAAAAAAAAAACCCAACTTTTTCTGTAATCTTGGAAGCATCCGGAATAACCTGGGCTAGGAAGAGTCTGTTGGCCCTGACTGTTGCCGGTTGAAATTGGAAATACTATTATCCACTTTTCCTCGAATTCAGAGATTGAATCTTAATCTGATTTTTTTAAAAAAACTGCACCAGTGATATTCATCACGAAGATATTAAATGAAGGGTAGTCCTTTGCCTCTCCACCTCTGTTTTAGTGTGAGCGTGAGATGCAGCTTCTCTTGGGTGATAGCTCGGCTCCCTGGAAGCTGCTACTCATGTTTTAATTGATTTTTGCAATCTTGATTTTCTTCTTAGCCTTCCCTGACGGACTTCCACCAGGCCTTCCAAGTGGTGTTTGTAGACTCTTCTGGACTGGTGAACCTGTGTGCGGATATGACTGCCAACACTTACAAGCAGGTAAAGGTGGGAGGAGTGAAGTTACTCCTGGAGCAGGCCAACAGGGAGTAGCAGCTGCTGAGTAGAAAGAAGAGTTTGAAGGACTCCACACAATCTGTTTGAATTCACGAGGTTGGATCCCATCCCGAACTGAACTACCGTGTTTCTCATATAATAAGGCCGGGTCTTTTTTTTTTTTTTGAGCCCTGAAAAAATAGCTAGGCCGTCTTTTCGGGGGTGACTTAATTCCCCCCCCCTTGCATTTTTGGGGCGGGCGGCGACAGCTTGGATGTTGACCTCGGTGTTGGTGGGGCAGTTCGTATCGGGGTCAATGCATGCAGCACCATATCCGGGTATGCAACAAAAGTACTTCCTAACGGCAAGCCCCCCCACCATTCCCCCCCATTTTGCATATTTTAATATAGGCCTTAATTTGGGGGGGAGGGGCTTAATTTCATTTCATGCCTATAAAACATGCTGGGACTTCCTATTGGGGGAGGCCGTATTGTTGGAGAAACAGGGTAGATCTGTGCATAGTTGGTCCACGGCTTACGACCACACTATTTCTGTTGCTAAACAAGGCCGTTTCGCCCCATTTTACGACCTTTTCTCGCCACAGCTGTTAAGTGAAATCCTGCCGTTGTTAAGTTAGACACATGGTTTTTAAGTGAATCTGGCTTCCCGGGTTGTCTTGGCTTGTCAGAAGGTCGCAAAAGGAGGAATCGCTTGACTTTGGAACACAGCCACAGTCATAAGTATGAACCTGTCATGCCCCTGTCGGAGTCTGAATCCAAGGAGGAAGACGAACAGCCAACAGGGAGTGGGAGAGTGGCTCCGTTGGCTGTGGAGGAAACTGGGGAAGGGCAAAGTCTGGCTGGGCAGAGCAGGGGAGAGGTAGAACAAGGGAGAGGGGGGTTCAGAGAAAGACCTGGGCCCACCCCCTCTTCATCTTAGGGCATGCAGGGAGGAACGGAGAAGGGAGCAACGTGGGTTGCATGGCTTACAAGGGAGGAAAGGGCCCTGATTCCCTTCATGAGCCACAGCTAGGAATGAGAGTTTAAAAGAGATGCAAGCTGTGTGCGGCAGCTGCTGGGAGCAAACGTGAGTTTATCTTGTGTTGGCTTTGGTTCTCTGTGTTCCTGGCATCCTCCCAACTGGGTTGAATTACTGCTCTCCCTTCACGTCTGGAACTCCTTCTTTGGCCCAGCTTGATTAATTACCTCATCTTGCCTTGATTGGACTTATAGTTGCAGTTTTGGTTGACCACATTTTGGAAATGTTGCTCCAAAAATGGCCTTTTGGGGGGCATTTTTCAGGCTATTTTTGCCATATTTTGGGCCATTTTGGGGCTGTTTTCAGGCCATTTGGGAGGTTGTTTTCTGGCCATTTTTGAGCCGAAAACAGCCCAAAACAATGGTCTGAAAATGGCCCCAAAAGGCCTGGAAACCAGACTGTTTTTTGGGCATTTTCAGGCCAGTTTTCGGGCCATTTTCCAGTGCTCCAGCACCCACGAAGACCAGCTGGCCTGGAGCGCATGCGTGCGCCAGGAACCAGAAGAGCAGCTGGCAATGGTGCGTGTGCCCACTGAGAGGTTTCTTGCATGCCACCTGCAGCATGTGTGCCATAAGTTCGCCATCACGGGGCTGGTCTCTCTTTGAGTTGCACCAACAGATCCTGGAAAGCCGGCCAAAGGAAAGCAGAGCCAGCTATTCTGGTTCCTAATGATGGCTTCCAAGACCGTGAGATGCCTTTAGAGCAGAGGTGGTCTTCAGCTGGTTCTGACCGGTTCTGGAGAACCAGTAGCGGAAACGTTGAGTAGTTCAGAGAACTGGCCAATGCCACCTCTGACTGGCCCCACCAACCCCATCTCTTCTCCGCCTCCCATTGAGTCCTAGCTGATTGGCTGGGTCTCCTTTGGTTGCCCTGCACAGGAGAACGGAGCTGGAAGGCAGGTTAATGTTCTGAGACGAACCTTGTTCCAAGGAAACAAACACGAAACAGAGGTAACAGCAAAACTTTTTAATGATTCTTTACAACTTCCGTTCCTTCCTGGTTAAAAGGCTGTTTCAAATTAATTGTCTCTGCTAAGAACGAGCCTTGCCAAAGTGGTGCAAGGCTGCCAAGAACACCAGATAAAGTTGCCAAGAAATAATTCAAACACAAAGAGTCTCCAAACACAAATGGAAAGAGTCCGAATGTCCACAAGGCTCGAGTGCAAAAACTTATTTGCTTCCTGCAAAGGACTCCGGTTTCTCAGCTGGCTTTTATCTTCTCAGGGAGGGGCCATTACCTTGCAGCCTTACTCCCGAGTCACCCGTGCTGCTGCAGCTGCTCTTTCCTACGCGTGCTGGGCACGGGCTCCTCGGGGGCCTCTTCCTCACTGCTGCCAGCCTCCACACTCTCCGAAGGCACCGCTCCACTCCCTGATGGTCCTGGCCCCATCCCTGCCTCACGCTCTCCGAGACCTCAGCCGTCCGCACCTGCTGCCACTGAACCACACAGTTAGTGGGGTGGGGAGGGAGGGAATGGAGATTTTGCAGTGTCCTTCCCCTCCCACGCTCATCAAGCCACGCCAAGCCAAGCCACGGCTACCAAGCCACGCCCACAGAACCGGTAGTAAAAAAAAAAATTTCAATCTCCCCACTGCTTCAGAGGTAATGAAGAGAGGCCGTTCAGTCAAGCCACGAAACACGCTCACGCGTATGTGGTTCTCTCCCTCCTTAGGTCCAGTTTGAGGCCAGGCAGTCGATGGAGATTCTGGATGACAAAAGGGTGGATGGCTTTCAGCTGCTCTTCATGACCCAGAAGCCTCTTGTCCGGACTTTCGACCACGTGTTTCAGTAGGTTGCTTTCAAAAGGATGGAGGGAGGGATGGTTTTCGGTTGGTACCAAGGCAGGATGTGGGTTAAAAAGGGGAGTTTTGTCTCTATCCTTCCACCATTTTTTTAAAAAAACAAACAAACAAAACAAACCTAAGTTTCTAGTCCACACTGTTGGAGAAAAGTTTTTGAAGGGCTTGCAGGGTTTGAAAGGCGGGGAAGGGAAGCATAGAGTGATAGATAGATAGATAGATAGATAGATAGATAGATAGATAGATAGATGATAGATAGATAGATAGATGATAGATAGATAGATAGATAGATAGATAGATAGATAGATAGATAGATAGATAGATACCCTGTTTCTCCAACAATACGGCCTCCCCCAATAGGAAGTCCCAGCATGTTTTATAGACATGAAATGAAATTAAGCCCCTCCCCCCAAATTAAGGCCTATATTAAAACATGCGAAATGGGGGGGAAATGGCGGGGGGGGGGGCTTGCTGTTAGGAAGTACTTTTGTTGCACACCCGGATATGGTGCTGCCTGCGTTGACCCCGATATGAAGTGCCCCACCAACGCCGAGGTCAACATCCAAGCTGTCGCCGCCCGCCCGCCTGAAGATGCAAGGGGGGGAATTAAGTCACCCCCGAAAAGACGGCCTAGCCATTTTTTCGGGGCTCAAAAAAAAATAAGACCCGGCCTTATTATATGAGAAACACGGTAGATAGATAGATAGATAGATAGATAGATAGATAGATAGATAGATAGATAGATAGATAGATAGATAGATAGATATGTTATACATATATATAGATGATAGATAGATAGATATTGATAGAGATGAGAGATAGAAAGCTAGATAGATAAACAGCTATGAGAGATTAGATAGATGATAGGTAGGTAGGTAGATAGAGATAGATAGATAGATAGATAGATAGATAGATAGATAGATAGATAGATAGATAGATAGATACTGTAGTTAGAGGTAGAGGAGAGAGAGAGAGAGATACTATAGTTAGAAGTAGAGGACAGAGAGAGATGTTAGAGAGAGAGAGAGAGAGAGAGAGAGATAATGCAGTTAGAGGTAGAGGATAGATAGAGAGAGGGAGATAGAGGTAAATAGATACTGTAGTTAAAGGTAGACTGTGTAGAGAGAGGGGAGGAGGGAGGGAGAGATACTGTAGTTAGTTAGATGTAGAGGATAGACAGACATAGCTAGACAGGTGAAAGGTATGTAGGTAGGAAGTTAGAGATGGATGGATGAATATATAGATAAAGATGTCAATCCCGAAATTGACATATAGGTGGTCATTTTATTTAGCATTATATATTTGTTTTTTTTTTCTTTCTGTTTGCTGGTTATGGGGGGAGGAGTTTCGGGTTTGCCATATTCTTAATGTGGGAGGAGTGGAGATAGAGTTGTTTAGGCTAGGTGGTCCTTCTTCCCGTGGGAACAAAAGTTGACCCTGCTGAGACCTGGAGGTGGAGATTGATGACATCAGGCAAACCTTGATTTACTTCTATTGGGGACTGTGACTTTTGGGGGCTGTTTCAAACTTACAATATTATGTGGTGTAATTTCGGGTTGTGTCAGATCCGGAATTACAACAGACTTTGCCAATTTGATGCTTTCCTAAATAAAAGGAATTATTATGGATGAGGGGCTTTGCTCTTTTCTTTTGAAATGGATTTCATCACTTGGAAACCTGACAAAAGAAAGATGAAAGGTACATTGATAGGATGATGGAGGTAGATAGGGAGAAAGGTGAAAGATAGGTAGATAGAGATAGGTAGATAGATGGAGATAAATGTTAGAGAAATTAAAAAATGGATTACTTTTTGTGTGATGAAAACCACATACTACCTGGGGATTCTGGGAGTTGAAGTCTTTTAAGACTTCTAGAAGACTACAAGGTCTACAGATACAAATCTATAGATCCATAAAAAATACTTTGCTTAACACAGATTTTTAATTTCCTTGCTTGTGAGCCCTCTTGCCTCAAAGCCGCTCATCTGTTTTCCCTCTGAGAGGCTTCATGAGTGTCTCTTCCTGTCCTTCAGCCTCCGTCATGTCTCCAAACTCCAGACGGCTTGCAAGAAGATGCAGCTCCTCAATGCGTTGATGGACCGGGGCGGGAATTATGTGGCCGCCGTTCTCCCGTTCTTCCTCAGCTTGCTGGAGCGTGGACTGGCCCGGCGGGTGGCGCTCCTGGCTCATCAGTTGCCTCAGACCCAACCGGTAACTTCACCAGAAACTTACTTTCTTTACTTGCTGAAAGAACCTAGTGCCCAGGATTGACCCACTTAAGGAACGGTGTGGTCCTTTTAAGACACCGTTTCCCCCAAAAATAAGCCCTACTCAAAAAATAAGCCCTACCTGATTTTTTAAAGTGTGCACCTAATATAAGTCCTATGTCAGGGCTCTGGCATCCACCCCCATTTAAATCATGAGTATTAGCCCGGTATGACAGGAAGTGACGAAACGGGCCTATTATTCGGCCTGCAAAGCCTGCAGAGGCTTTTTTTCAAGCCTCTGGAAGGCCGAAAAAGGCCTCAAACCAGCTGAAAACCAGCTGTGAGGCGTGCGCATGCGCGGTGAGGTAAGTTTGCCTGCGGCTTGCGTGCCGGCACAAATGGCTCTGAGTGCCACGTGTGGTATGCGTGCCATAGGTTCGCCATCATGGGAATAGAATAACAGAGTTGGAAGGGACCTTGGAGGTCCTCTAGTCCAACTCCCTGCTTGGGCAGGAAAACCTATAACCAGTGCAGTTATCCAATTTCTTTCAGTGACGGAGCATTCAGAACTTCTGAAGATAAGTTGTTCTACTGATTAATTGTTAGGGAATTTCTTTTTAGTTCAGGGGTCTTCAAACTTGACAGCTTCAAGACTTGTGGACTTCAACTCCCAGAATTCCTCCTCCAGTCATGTTAGAGCTCAGGAATTCTGGGAGCTGAAGTCCACAAGTCTTAAAATTGCCATGTTTGAAGACCCTTGCCTTGGTTAGTTTCCATCCATTGCTTCTTGTCTTGTTTTCAGGTCCTCCCTCCCTCCCTTCTTTGCTCTGGTGGCAAGCTGTTCCACTGCTTCATTGTTCTCACTGTCAGGAAATTCCTCCTTAGTTCTAAGTTGCTTCTGTGATGAGTTTCCATCCGTTGCTTCTTGTCCTGCCTTCAAATGCTTCGGAGAATGGGTTGACTCTGTCTTCTTTGTGGCAGTCCCTGAGATACTGGCAATTGTTGTAAGGGTGAGGACCAGCTGGAAATCACTGTTTCCAACCCCATGGAAGTTCGAACAGTCACTAAACGAATGGTTGCCATTGAAGGACTACCATATGGTAGTGGGTGAGGCCACACTTGGAATACTGCATTCAGTTTTGGTTGCCCCAATGTACAAAAGATGTTGAGACTCGAGAAAAAGTGCAGAGAAGAGCAACCAAGAGGATTCGGGGACGGGAGGTTCAAACATATGAAACATTCCATCCGTTGCTTCTTGTCCTGCCTTCAGTTTCTTTGGACAAAAGCTTGACCCCCTTTTCTTTGGGCAGCCCCTGATACATTGGAAGACTGCCATCATGTCCCTCCTAGTCCTTCTTTTCATTAAACTAGACCTACCAATTCCTGCAACGGTTGTTCGTATGTTTTACCCTCCAGTCTAAAGCTGGCAGGTGGTTGTTGGTTTTTCCTAGCTGTCTTCGCTCATTTTTCTCCTCCTGTGTTTTCTTCCAGTGGTCGATTCACCTGGACCCCCCAAAGCACAAAGACATCAGTTCCTTATCCTTTGGACTGTTGCTAAATCTTGATTTTGCCAACAGTGTTTTGGAGCGAGGGCCAGAAGCAGATCAAGATGAGGTGAGAACTAGGTCAGGAAGCTGATTTACCGTCTCTTCTCTCAGTGTCTACGGAGTTTCTCCGTCCTCCAGGTGCTTTTTTCAACTGGACTTTCTGGTTTTTCCTTGAAGATGTTTTACTTCTCATCCAAGAAGCTTCTTCAGATGAGAAGCGACAGAGAGCTGAGGAAGCTTCTTGGATGAGAAGCAAAACGTCTTCAAAGAAAAACCAGAAAGTCCAGTTGCCTCTTGAAAAAAAAAAAAAAGCACCTTCGGGACATCTCTTGTCTCTAGATCAAAATATTCAGCCGGTGCAATATTTGATGTGATGTGTAAGACCCGAATTATTTAATACTCGCAATACAGAGCCAGGTCTGGTTCACAATTCAAAGGTTTATTAAAGAAAATACGCATTTGCAAACGGGCCGTCAAGTCCCTTCCCAAGTGGATTGGGTACAAGAAGAGCAAAACTCCATGTTTAAACAATACATTTATACCCCTGCACAGAACACGCCATGCCTAAGAGGCCCTCCCAATGCCCCCTTATTATAAGATAAGCTAAACTATAGGCTTAAGGGTCGACATGACATTGTTTTCTGTGCCTTGGTGTCTTGTCTTGTTTCACTGCTGGGCTTTGGGAGGATGTCCCTTATTTACTTGTTGCCTATCCCCTGTTTTCCAAGAAGATTGTAACAATGCATCATGTACTTATAACTGAACACATTTTGGGTTTTAGGGTGCGGGGTTTTATATGTAACAGAAAGAGTAAAGAGGAATCTTCTAGCATAACCATACTTAAACTACATTTAAATCCTATTATAAAAGAGTAACTATATTCAGACATCATATTCTTCCGATTAAAATCGGAATTCCGGTTTTTTTGGGAATCGCCCCCCCTTTCCCCCCCCTTCTTCTCCTCCTTCCCCTCCCCTCGGAGGCCCCGAGTCAGTTGCTACCACTGGCGCGGCTCTGCGTGGCTCCAGTCCCGCGTTGCCTCAGGAAGGGAAAGGCAAAAAGGAAGAGCTGCGGTGGCGCTTTGCAACGGCAGCAGCGGCTCCTGGTTTTGCCTTTCCCTTCCCGAGGCAACGCGGGACTGGAGCCGCGCCAGCAGTAGCAACTCCTGACAGCCCCAGCCGGATACCTGAGCGGAGCCCGGGCGGTGCGAGCGGAGCCCGCTGAGCAGCAGGAAAAGGGAGCTGGGCAGCGATTTCTTGGCGCGCGGTGGGGGGGTCTCTTTTGGCCGGCCCCAATTTTTTTTTCAGAGGGGAATATCATGCCTGTATATTTTTCCCTCATTTGACCATAATAATTCGGTTATCGTCCTAGAAGATATTTTTGAAAGAGAGATAGGGGCTTGGGTGGATATTTTGGAGAACTGGCAGCTTAGGAGGATAGAGATGGGAGAAATACACAGTCTGAATGGTGAAGATACAGAGAGAGGAGTATGGGAGGCAAGCCAAAAAAAACCAAATAAGAATTGAGATATTAAAATGGACGACAGATGATGGATAGAAAGGAATAATTTTGGTGGTCCGCCGAAAATTTTGGTGGTCCACAGAGAAATGTCACCCCCAGAGCAATCCCCCAAAGCAATTATTAATCCAAGCTGCGCAGGAACACAAGGCTACGCCGACCACCTGGCCCATCCTCCCAGACCACTCATTCCTTACCTGGCAAACTTGCCTGCTAAGTTGCTATTTTTCCAACCATCAGCTGTTTTGCTGTGCCGGGAGATTTAGATTAGCTAGAAAGCAGGAAATGGTTGGGTTTCTTGCTTTCTAGCTAATCTTTAGATCTTTGGCTCTGCTTTTAAACCTCCCTTAGGACTGAAGCAGTGCAGACTCAGCTAGCCAATGGCAGAAACACAGATCTCTAAGTGAATTTGCGATTCTGTGAGCAACTCAATCTGCCTGTCTGCTTTGCCTGATTTTGGGTAAAAGTTGCTCTTTTTTTCTATAAAACAACAACAACAATATTTACATACGTGGTCTGTTGTGAGTTAATTTTGTGTGTTTGCTTGTAAGCAAATTTTATGTGACAGACTCAGGTAGCCGATGGCAGATAGATAGATAGATAGATAGATAGATAGATAGAAGATAGATAGATAGATAGATAGATAGATAGATAGATAGATAGATAGATAGCAGATAGATAGCAGATAGATAGATAGCAGATAGATGATAGATAGATAGATAGATAGATAGATAGATAGATAGATAGATAGATAGATAGATAGATAGATAGATAGATAGATGATAGATAGATAGATCTCTGAATGATTCCGTGAGCAACTCAATCTGCCTGTCTGCTTTGCCTGATTTTGGGTAAAAGTTGCTCTTATTTTATAAAACAACAACAATATTTACATACATGGTCTGTTGTGAGTTAATTTTGTGTGTTTGCTTGCAAGCAAATTTTATGTGACAGACTCAGGTAGCCGATGGCAGATAGATAGATAGATAGATAGATAGATAGCAGATAGATAGATAGATAGATAGATAGATAGATAGATAGATAGATCTCTGAATGATTCTGTGAGCAACTCAATCTGCCTGTCTGCTTTGCCTGATTTTGGATAAAAGTTGCTCTTTTTTAAATAAAAAATTCAATATTTATATAAATATTTATAATATTTACATACAAGGCATGCCCAGCCAGTCACATGACCACTAAGCCACACTCATAAATTAGGCCATGTCCACAGAACCAGTTGTTAAGAAATTTGAATCCCACCCCTGCCTGTGTGTGTGTGAGAGAGAGAGAGGGGGGGTGGGTGGGAGAGAGAGAGAGACCTCTCTCTCTCTCTCTCTCTCTCTCTCTCTCCCTCTCCCTCCCTCCCTCCCTCTCTCTCTCTCCCTCTCTCCCCCATCAACGTCAGCAAGCCACCTTCAGTCAAAATTCATATTAGTGGTCCCTGGGATTTAAAATGAGGAGCTTGGTGGTCCCTGAGGTCCAAAAGGTTGGAGACTCCTGGACTAGAAGACCTCTTAAGATCCCTTCCAATTCTGTTATTCTGCTATAGTCCCCATGGAATCTCTAATTGTTAAAATACTTGAGTTGCCTTATAGTTGTTGAAGGGTAATACAAGGGGGAAAGGGGAGGAAAATAACCTCTCTTACACCTGTTCCTGCAGGCCATGGAGTTTCGGCAATTTTGGGGGGAGCGGTCGGAGCTGAGGCGTTTCCAAGATGGCGTCATCTGCGAAGCCGTTTTGTGGGACGCTGCCAACCTGTGCCAGAAACGTCTCATTCCGGAGCAAATAATACGTCATATCTTAAAGCTGTGAGTAACTAGAATAGCTCTTACCACGTGAAAGAACATGAGGATGGGGGCGGGGGACTTATTTTGTCCGGAACATCTTGACTTCTCACTTTGATTCCAGCCATTTGGAAATCTGAGGGGTCCTTGTTGCTCTCTGAGCTTGGTTTGTTTTCTTGCAGACATTTCATGACCCAACTAGGTAACATCATCAGTGCTGGTGGGAGGGGGAGTTGCTTGGCATTTATATACTAATAACTTATCCTGTCAGTGTTGGTGGGAGTGTTCTTTGTGGTGCCTTGACCAGGCTGTTGTGTACTGCTTGATCGTTGTCTAACATTTATCAAGAGAGATACCAATGGAAAAAAATATTTGTAGCCCAGAGTTGAATTGTGAGGTCCTTGGTGCTCTCTGAGTTTTGCTTGCAGACATTTCATTACCCAACTAGGCAATGTCATCAGTACACAACCAAGCTCAAGAGGGACCAAACATCCTACAGACCTCTCTTATCTCCTTGAAATTGCAGCAGAAGTTCACTATATTCCCCCATTATACTAAACCATGGCTAGTTTTTACCACTGTTTACTGAAAAAGCAACAATGATCATAACGCATAGCGTTAAACCTTGGTTTACAAGCCATCTTGGCTGGTTTTAGATGTCGCACCAAGCTGGTGATATCTTGGTTTAGGGTGATGCCTGAATGGGACCCTAATTCTTGGTCATGTCAGAGGATGCTTAGGAGGCAGGAAGAATGCAAAGTGACTTTGAAGAAGAGATATTTATAATTCTTGGTCTTCTTTGTTTTCTCTTCTTTGCAGGCACCTGGACATCCCAGAAACTTCCATCTCTTATGTGGGGGCCCTGCTGGAACCCCTAATTAAACTGGGGCATGAGGTGAGGCCCCTTTCCACCTTATTCCTTGTCTTCTTCCTTGCCATCCCTGAATGTCTCGAGATATTTTGTGTTCTGACCTAGGCTTCTCCATCAGCACGAAGCCGACTCCTCGTCCCGATAAAACCCTTTTTATTTAATTTACAATGAATTTCCTCTCCAACAAAGTCTCGGCCAACAGTCTTCCAAGAGACTTCCGCAATTACAGACTATTATCAGGCTTGGAGAGCTGCCAGGCCGATATCTTTCAGTTGCCACACTGTCACAGGCAATATTTAGCAAGAATGCAGGAGCAGATCTTCACCCAAATGAAGTAGTTGCCTCCCGCAAAACCCCATTCCCCCTTTGCTCCTTTTTTATTCCCTATGGGAGGGGCTATTCACCGTCCACCTGTGGCTTTACTCCCAAGTCGACCCTTGTTCCTCAGCTGTTCTCTTCTGACAGCTCTACGCATGCGCACACTGGGAACAGGCTCCAGCTGTTCTTCTGCCCCACTGATCTCCGACTCCAAAGGCAGCTGATAACTGTCGGGCGGCCCTGGGCCGATCTCTGCCTCCGATGCAGAGCCCTCGTCCGAGCCTTCCCCAGACTCCAGGACTGGCCCATGTTCCTCCCCAACATCCTCAGTGTCCAAATCTACCGCCAGCTCCTCTGGCCGCTGGCGGGCCACAACAGTTTGCCTGAGGAGATTCTCTTGTCCTTTCCACACTGGGATGGTCTAGGAAGAAAAATAACCCCATAAAATAACTCTCTAAAACCAAGACGGAAACACTTAATCTCCCTCCACCCCCAGCCTCATGCACTGTACATTTCAAGAGTCCCCCCAAAGACTCCCCTTAAAAGAACCTTTCTTCATTTTGGGGGGGCGGGGGGGCTCCCCTGAGTCCTTTAGAAAGATAGAATGACAGAATTTTAGTACTGAAGCTATTCTGGGGGTCCTCGGTGCTCTCTGAGCTTGGTGGTTTTCCTGCAGACGTTTCATGACCCAACTAGGTAACATCATCAGTGCCAGAAAGGTTTGCAGGGAGGAGGAAGAGAAAGACTGTACTGAAGCTATTCTGGGGGTCCTCGGTGCTCTCTCAGCTTGTTGGTTTCCTTGCAGACGTTTCATGACCCAGCTAGGTAACATCATCAGTGCTAGAAGTGAGTGGGATGAGGGGGAGCGGGAGGGGAGAGGGAGGAAAAGGAGGAGGAGAACTGTAGGGCTCTTGGTGCTCTCTGAGGTTGGTGGTTTTCTTGCAGACGTTTCATGACCTAAGTAGATAACAACATCAGTGCTAAAGCGAGGAAGTGGATTGGATAGAATATTTGCAGTTCAGGGTTCGAGTATGTGGTCCTTGGTGCTCTCTGAGCTTGACAGTTTTCTTGCAGACGTTTCGTTACCTAACCAGCTAACATCATCAGTGCTGTAAGGGAGGGGGGGAATTGCTCTGTTTGAATACAAGTGGCTTTCTCTTGTGTTGGTGGGAGTGTGGTTTTCTTTCTGTTCTTTACAAAGACAGGATACTTGTATACCAAGGGCCTTCAAACTTGGTAAATTTAAGACTTGTGGACTTCCAACTCCCAGAATTCCTGAGCTCTAACATGACTGGAGGAGGAATTCTAGGAGTTGAAGTCCACAAGTCTTCAAGCTGTCAAATTTGAAGAGCCCTGTTGTATATAAACAGGGAGGGAAAAAACCCTTTTAGCACTGAAGATGTTATCTATTTGGGCAATTAAATGTCTGCAAGAAAACAACCAAGCTCAGAGAGCACCAAAGACCCCACAGTTTTCCTCCTCCTCCTCCTCCTCCTCCTCCTCACTCCTCACTCCTCACTCCTCACTCCTTCCTCCTCCTGCTTCCTTTTCCTCTTCCTTTAACTCCTCCTTTTCTTCTTCCTTCCCTCCTCCCTCCCCCTCCTTTTCCTTCCTCCTGCTCCCTCCTCCTCCTTTTCCTCCTTCTCCTCCCCCCCTCTCCTCCTCCTTTTCCTCCTCCTCCTTCTAGAAGGCCACTCCCTTCTAGCGCTGATGATGTTACCTAGTTGGGTCATGAAACGTCTGCAAGAAAACTACCAAACTTAGAGAGCCACAAGCTGGTTCATGAAACGTCTGCAAGGAAACAACCAAGCACAGAGAGCACCAAGGACCCCACCGTTGTCCTCCTCCTCTTCCTCCTCTCTCTACAGACCCCATTCCCTTCCCACACTGATGTTGTTATCTGGTTAGGTAGTGAAACATCTACAAGGGAACAACCAAGCCCGACAGAGGGCAACGTTTTTTACATTTACTATTTATTAAATTTATATGACGCTGCAACATTGTGGTTTAGCACTCGGCCCCTCCCTCCTCCTTCACCAAAAAAGCCCCCTTTTCCTTTGCTATTCCTTTTTCCTCCCGATATTGAAACGTGGGTGTTGAAGCACTGAGGGAAATGACTTTGTGCTGTTAATGCGTGTTGGCCCACTGGTCTTTCCTGGGGTGCCCACAGCCTGCAGGGACTGGTGAGGAAGAGATGGTGAGGCTGATCCGCTCCTACGACGACCTGAGCCGCAAGCTCTGGCACCTGGAGGGGATGCCCTTGACGGTGACGGCGGTACAAGGGGCTCACCCAGCCCTTCGCTACACAGAGGTGAGTTAAGCGCGATGAACGGAAGGTGCTGGGAGGGGGTGGCCACCCATGTAAGACGTCTTTGTGGGGGGGGGGGCATTTCAGGTAGTTCTTGACTTACGATCCCAATTGAGCCCCAGATTTCCATTGCTAAGTGAGACAGTTGCTAAGGGGAATTTGTCCTGTTTTACAATCTTTCTTGCCACAGTTGCTAAGATAATTAGACCAGACTAGACAAGACAAGACAAGACAAGACTAGAATAGAATAGAATAGAATAGAATAGAATAGAATAGAATAGAATAGA